CTCCTCGCTCCTCGAAATGTTTTTTTTTCCTTCGCAAAGAACATCAGTCTACAGCAACGGGTGACACTTTGCATTGTGAATGAGAGTCTCTAAAAAATATTCAACTTTTGCTCATAGAAAGATCGAAAGATAAATATGTTTTATGTTAGTGCGATCAGATTTTTCACAGTCATGAGTTTCATTGTTGAGACGAATTAATCTTTATCAATTCAATCAAAATGACTTTGGAAATGAAATCCAACTCTGAATGATGAGAGATAGGAGTTAGAAGGGACAAAAATGACTACGAGGGGGAATATTGTAGCAGAAGAGAAAGAGAGAGAGAGAGAATAGTTTCAAAGTTCACATTAATAATGTGAATCCCTCGTCTGGCATGATCCAGGATGTCCCACAAGTTCAATAATCCTCCGGGAAACTTGGAATGTCAACAAACATCGAATATACGAAACTTCGCTGGTAATAGGAGCGCATGCGAAATGTAATGCATCGGTTATACGAACACGCACGCACATTCAAGGCTTTATGTCATAGACATAATTAATACTTACCGTTAAGCACGTACCGACGAGGTACCTTCATTGGTATCGCTATACCATTAGTATCAGCTTTGGGAACGACATTAGCGTTCTACGACACTTTGACTATGTTTATCATTAAACCTACGTCTACTCCTACATCTATGATAGTAAGCTACCTGATCGTACCTTCTACCCTATAATGTATACTTATTAACACATATACGATTATTAATTTATATTAAACAAAGTTAATCCTTTAGAATTTTTCTACGTTGTTTTATTCATTTTTAAACTCAATTTATAATCGAGATAAATGTTTTCTTGTATCTACTAATAATCCTCCTTATATCCCCTTATATCGTTTATCGTTCACGTTCAAAGAAATTATGCATTCCATTTTAAGTTAAATAACAACGTATGTTATAGTTAGAGGACTCATGGGATCTCGTATATTTCATTATGGTTACATACATTTAGATAGATACACCGTATAATCGAACCTTCGAGATATCTACCACTTCTATCTACTATTACCCCCATCATAACTGCTAGACTACCACTGCACTAACTCTCGAAAATCTAACCTACGACTCCACTATTTACTCGATACAATCTTCTCCAAAGACACCAGAGAGTAGTTTGATAAATAAAGTAAATTATTTTCGAATGATTACGATACACAAAGGCGTATATCTATGAAACAAATATCTTTCCAACTAATTGGTAATTATTATCGATTACAACGTAAATGATACGATCGTAAACATTTAAATATGTTCTATTTGTAACTTTAATGTTTCATAAGCCTCCCGCCCCCCGCCCATTAATTAATATCGTTCTTTAGTCCCTTTAGATTCTATCTGTAATGCTTTTACATTAGTTAATGTACATAAATATAGTGATTTTAAATGGTCACAGTGTAACCACCTATCGCGTACGATCATTGATTATGGATAGGGTGAATCGTCCGATGAATTATTGCAATAGGTAGATCGCGCTGTTTAAACGAGGAATTTTCGGGGAATACACTGGCTGATGGGCAGCATATACCAGTTATCGTCGATGTAACACTCGGATGATGCCGTGATTACTGCGACACTGGGAGAATTAATTGATACAGTCACCGATCATACGGCCATTCGATTTCGAGCTAACGCGAGCTACTATTTAGCTCGATTATACACGTGAATAACTTCTACGTTAATATCTTTGCTTATTTCTACAGCTTATCTCAATGTAAAACTTCTGTGTAAATCGTTTAAAATGAAATAATTTGTATCATATAATAGAAGAAATGATTTTCAATTAAAATGTGTTACAATTAGTAACACGTCAAACGTACTGTTGCTCACATAAGATGAAACTAATTTAAAAAACTATATGAAACATTTATAATAAATATTCTTAAATGTCTGATGCATTACTGATTGCGTTGATAGGATAAATTCCCGTAGTTATATTCAGTAGAGTTAAAAGAAAATAAATTTGTGAAGTTATCTGTGTTCTCTTTCGTGGATGTACCCTATAAACTTTGAAGAAAGAAAGAAAAAGGAAAAGAAAAAAAAAAACAAATGGAGGAAATAAAGAAACGTATCAGTGTTGCACGATCGGTACGATTCTTCAACGACATACTAATCGTTTCCGTCGTACGATTTAACAATCCATTTGTTTCTTCTGAGAAAGAATAGGAAGAAAGTGTTAAAAGACGTGATAAGCTCTGAAACGGAGAGAACCAACGGAGAGAGCATTGTCCGTTGAAATATATATATACACAACTGTATACACTTCTTTGCTAACATGTATTTGTGAGGTACATTAATCAGGACTGCAGATAAAGGGAATCGTTGTTGTTGAGAGAGAGAGAGAGAGAGGGAAAGAGATAAAGAATTTCCACGTAACCGTGATTACTATACTTTGTAATATATGTATACGTACACAATACATATAATAAATAAAAGTATTAATCTAATCAAATGAAATATTATATAATTACATTTAAACAAAATGAAATTATTCTGAGAAACAAAAATTCTTATTACATATTTATTATTTTTTTATTATTTTTCACGGATATTAAAATAAATGCTGACGTACTCGACAGATGGTATTTTTTAATATCTTTAAGATGTTCGATTTGAAGAGATAAAAAATATCAATTTCCTATCCAGAAGAAAGAACTGACTTCAACGTCTGTAAAATATATATATATATATATACATCAAATATATTTGATTACAAGTATTGAAATAATTCTTAATTCTTTCGTCAAATGGTAAAGTGTATTTCATCTTTATCTATCGAAGATGAAAATACTGGGATTATTATTTGGATAGGAGACGCACTACCTATCATATATTTTTGAAGGAGGAACGAAACTATCAGACATAACATCCGTATAACTTTATATATATATATGTATATGTGTGTCTATGTGTGTCTATAAGCAAAGAATTTCTGTCGAATGCGTCGCATTACGAGGGTTTAAAATGTGCATAACAATATCGCTTCTTTCCAGCGACGTATCAATAACTCTGCATAAAATATTGTCATACGCCGATACACATAAGCACGATATTCTATAGGCATCTATCAGTTTTCTGTTATATGTATATATAAATACGTATACATATATACATATGTACATATGTGTATGATAGTAAATATCAGCACGTATGTATGGTACGTCGTAGGACGGAATCGTTTTCTCCTTGAAAATCGTTTTTACGTATAGATACGTCGATGACGAGCGAAAAATATCCATTACTGTGAAATATGTCCAACGAATAGGAATAATCCAATACCAAACAAACAAACGAAAAAACAAAAAACAAAAAATAAAATTAAATTAAAAATATTCTTTGAAAATGAATATTTTTACTTTAAACTCAATACATCAATCAAATGCGCTTATATGAATATTATTTTTATATTGAAAATATTTTTTTTTTTTTTTTTAGAGCAAAATTTGTAATACTTCATACATGTTATGTAATACCAATATTTTCATTCCATGTAATTGAATAATTTGTATTTAATATTTCAATGAAACATAATTCCACAAAAAAAATATATTTTCTTTTCAATTAAATTTAAAGTACATATGATAATGCAAATATAAATAATTATGAATAGTTCAAATCATAGTGATAGCATTTTATCGAGTATTATCTGAAAGTAATTTGATCCAAACACTTGTTTCCATATTAGTTAACATTAAATAGCAATTGTAGCATATTATTCTTAACGATCTATAATAATATTACTTTCAACGAAGTACAAACAATTAAACCAACCTGGCCATGTAAATAGAAATAGAAACATTTGTTGCCTCGATTTCGAATAAAGCTGTTGTGTGTAGGTGTGTAGGTGTGTGTATACTCATAATGCGAGTTGCTTTATTACAAGATAACACCACTTTGAAATTTATACCTAAATGTAGAGCTGGAGGAACTTGAAATTTGAGTTTCCGAACTGTCGAGCAAATTATTACGTAGAGATATTAATTAATACTGGTTTGGGATACAGAAAATGAATTATGTATAACCTTTAAGGATTCTATTTCTGCAGTATTAATTATTGATCATAATATTAATTTAGTGAAAACAACAACAAATTAAATTAATTCATCTTATTAACATATAAAAGTGAATAAAATGAAAGATGGAATGATTATTGAACGTTTTCAACATCGTTATTAGATAAAGAAAAAAATTGTAAAAAGAAAAAGGGTAGTGACACGAAGCAGGTTTAGGGTGATCATCGTTCATCGTATCGGTGACGAAAGGTCAAGGGGTTAAAGAGCCGTGGTTACCCGCAATAATATTATGAATAACGTTGAAAATAAAAGAATCATGTGAGGAGGCGTAAACTAAACGAACGAACGTGTGTTTGCACGCGCAAACGTGTTTGTGACATATGAAGACTAATGGAAAGCAGAGAATTCGAGAGAAATGAAAGAAGTATAGAAATAAAGAGCTCGAGAGGTAGACAAGAATGAGAGAGAAAAAGAGGAAAAAAGAGAGAAAGAAGAGAGAGAAAGGGAGAGGGTGAAGACTCGATTAAACGTCATCGACAGGCCAGGGCCTATTCGCTTTGCAATTGCTTTTTCATTATGGAAACTTCTACCGATTTTATACGAAATTATAAATTTAACGAGTATCCTCAATTCAATTTTCTAATCTATTGTATTTTTAACCACAAAGTAATAGATCCTTAAAAACATACTCTGTAATATGTAATACACATATTTACAGTATATTTACAATAAAACAAATCATTATTTTATATATTTATCTTAATTGCAATAATTTAAAACAAATTATATATACATTTGTAATAATCTCAGGTATTCGTAATTGGCGCTACTTTTCATTTTTAGTACAACTAGCGTCATCTGTGAGCATATTGCTAGAACTAACAGGAAATCCCCTAGTTATTAGAAATTCACATGAATGAAACTCTACAATTCTTTCATACTTAATGACAGAATTGTACGTTCTTTGTGGTCATTACTCGTAGTGAACAGCTGATCAGTTGTTTTCATCCAAATAATACCAGAAAAATACAGTATCTAAATTTAGCTTGTAGTGTGGTAAAAAATATCGTTCATAAAAGATAACGTATCGAGAATAACAGTCAGTAAAAAAGAAATACTTCAAAGATAAACTTAAAAAGTATACAATGACGTAGTAATGTGTGTGTGTGTGTTTAATAAATAATCGTTTAGTATGCAAATAAATTACTAAAATAATTAATTGATCTAAAGTTTTAATAAAATGTCAATTTCAATGGAGAATCTTGTCATCAAGCAACCAATTAGACGTTTGGAAATACAAATCAACAATTTTAATGTTGCTATACCACACCATGTGAATTTATTAAAACGTCATAAGAATAATATTAAAAAAGTAAGTTACTTCAAAATAATATTGCATGATTCTTCAAAATAATAATTGTCCTAAAGAATAAACTATTGTTTATAGTATGAATCTCAACAAGATTGGGAAAAAGTACGAAAGGAGCATATTAATGTTTCTAGAATTGTAAAACAATTAAAGGAATTACTGTATCAGATGGATACACTTAGAGCTCAAGTTTTAGACAGTGATATTAATGAATTCGATAAACTTACAGCAACTACAAGATCTAGTATGATGAATGCGATTGAGGAATACTTGGGTAAGGTATTTGATGATACTAAGTAAATGATGACTTACACATTGCTTGAAATTGAATGATTAAATATTGGTGTATTAATTGTATGATTGTAGTTTTACAATTGGACTTACCGATATCGGGTCCGTCTTCACCCAAAGAAGAAAATAAGGATGCACAGGATGTATTTAGAGATCATGATATCCAATTGCAAGAAGAACATGAGGATTTGGATCGACAGCAAGCATGTTTGCATACCTGGACCGATCTACAGGATGATATTACTCAATTACATCAACTTTTTACTGATTTTAACAAAATAGTACATGTAAGAATCTCTACGTTTATTTAAAGCTTTACTTAGTATCGTATGATTTGAATCAATTATAATTTTGTTCATACAAGGACCAAAAAGAATCTGCAACACACATAGAAACTAATATTGAAGAGACGCAAATTAATGTGAACGAGGGTGCAAAGTTTCTTGTAACTGCATCAAGATATAAAGCAGTAACTTATCCCTTAGCTGGAGCAATTATAGGAACTTGCGTTGGTGGACCAATAGGTTTATTTGCTGGTCTAAAAATTGGTGGTCTAACTGCTCTTGGTTGTGGTATTTTAGGTAAGTTTTTATAATTTTTTAATTCTCTTTTTAATGTAACTTCTACAAGAACTTTCTACTAGGACAATATATGAAATAAATATATTACAACTGTTTTCTTTTGGATTCAATAAATAAACTGATTACAGGATTTACTGGAGGTTCTATTTTAAAGAAAAAACAAATTTCTGGAGAGATTGTACGTAGAAAATCAAACATTTCAATTTCACAGCAAGAAAATGTTAAAAAATCTTTATCTCTTCCTGAAAAATTGAATAAAAATGATAAGGATTTGTGACATCAGGAAAAACCTGATGAGAAATCAAAAGATACTAAAGTTTGCAATATTATTTAATTGCTTTCTGAGATATCAATGTGTACTTTTTTCAATGAAACAGAATACTTTCAATCTGCTGACCAATGATATACTTTTTTTATTAGTTTTCTATTAAAATAAATAACACCAATTATTAAAAATATTATGTGAAGGATAACAAAACACCATCTTTTTTAATAAAACATAGAATACGTATGTGTATGTAGGTCAAGTTTTGATCAAAGATACTCAATGCTTTAATATCATAATTGGGACCGTTTATTTTGGAAGTGATGTAAGTCTATTTAAAAAAAAAAAAAATTAAATATCACGTAATTTATGCTTAATTTAATGTAAATCTATTATGTGGATAACTAGTTAAGTGGTCGGTAAAAGAAATTGAGTAATCGTTGATATGTTAAGCTTTAATTTTATCGAAACAAAAAGAAGTAGACCTACACTACTTTCAAAATAGACGGTTTATTTAATAAGAAGCATCCGAGAGTACCAATTTTACACTTACGATTAGTGGATAATAATAAAGCTAAGCGTGTTTCATATATTCTTGTTGGATCTCAAATTATAATAAATTAGCTTTTACAGCTTGAATGTAAAAATTATTCAGATAGATAGCTGGTACTTTGATAATATATTGACAATTTTGCTAATTAATAAAGTGCTTTGTAAAATATTATATAGGTAATATATATATATATATATATATCTAACGCGAATGTTCGATCACAGAAATGTTATTTCTATTAAACAAATAATTATTCTACATTACAAATGTGAATATGCGTGTGTGTGAATTAAATTATGCAAACAAAATTATTATTAACCCTCAATGATTTGAATTAGAATAAAATTTTTGGTTTCTTTACTATTACATTAGTATTATAGATTTTTCTAATTGTCAATCATTTTTGTAGGTTGTTAATTGGTTGTCGTAAATGTTTTTTAGGGTTTAGAATCTTTCGCAAAGGAAAATTGTGTTTAACTTAATTTTGTAAAGATTTGTAAGTATTTGAATAACTTAAAATGATTATTACCATAAATATGAATTAATTAACGAAGTACTTACCACGTGCTCAAATGAGTTATATAATATGTACCTGCGAAACAAAAATGACACAAGAACTTTTCGCAATCTTTTTTTCTAGAAATTCGTGTAATTTGATAACCGACAATATTCATAAGCAATTTGAAAAAAAAACTTCGCGTCGGTTTTATGCCTTTTCCCACGTGTCTTATGATGACTATATGCAAGACAGTGCTGCAATGTTCAAATTATGTATTTACCTATGCTATAAACAAAAGAAAAACGAAGCTTAAAAGCTTACTTTACACGACTGTATATTTTTTGATGCAATTATATTTTGAATTAAATTAGTTCCATCGAAGAAAAACAAAAATCATTTACTTATCATGAAATTATCTCCAATTGAAGATACTACAATTTGATGTTTATAAGAAAATAAGATTTTTACCAAAATAAATAGAACAATTTTTCGATCGGTCTTGTTCTTATATTAAAAAAAAAAAAAAAGAGAACGGATTTTTTTTATAATTAATTAGCTTTTTGGGGTTCACTACAAAAGGCACCCAATACAGTATATTTAGCAAATAATAAAATACATCGGTGTTAGACACATTACAATACTGAAACACACAATCGTGTTGTTATTAATATAATATATACATTTTATAATGGTAATGCAAATGACTTAAATCTAAGGACTAAAAAATTTCTACTTAAAAAAATATTAATAAATATCTAAGAGCGTGTAAATATTCTTCAATGACTATTCAACGTAGATCGGTTTAATTTTATTTTCCTGTTTTTTTTTCTTTTCTTTTCTTTTCTTTTCTTTTTTTTTTATTACGAGATATTCTCTAGCATATTTTATTATCGTTTTAATTGAAGCATCCTGTATTTAAAAGCAAATACCAAACGAAAATACACGTGGAAAATAGATCCAAATTTACGTAAATACTTTCATTCGTTTCGGTTTTACTTTTAAAAATTAGGACGCTCAGCCAGGTGCGCACCGATTTATATGGCGTATATGTTTTTTTTTTTTTTTTATTATTTTTCTTTTTTCATACTTATATATATATATTTGTTTTTTTTTCTTTCTGTTATAAAATCTAAATTATAAAAAGATTTCATATATGTATAAATATGTATACGTAAAAAAGCTTTCCTTCACATTCTCGACGAAAAAAGAGATTGAAAAAATATTCTTGCAAAATGAAACGAACCATGAGTGTTGTTATCATTTGAAACAACAATTTCCATTGGGTGCATCAGATTGTTTTTTTTTTTTTTTCGAGAATTGATTTTTATTTCTTCTTTCTACTTTTTCTACAAACTATATTTCTAAGTTCTTATCATCTTCTTTTATTTTATTTTTATATTTTTTTTTCTAACTTTAAACTCTCTTCTCTTCATTCCAACATATAAAATAAACAATTTGGTCATATTCCATAAGGTATAATTACGATACCTTGGCAGACCTTGGCAATGAGAATGGCTAACGAGTTGACTTACTTGGAGAAGCAATGTAACAAAACAGAATTATGTGAGAACAAAATTACTGATTGCTACATTTAACGATGTTCTCTGTATTCAACTACAAATGCATTTGACATAAATAAAAGACCCCATAGTCTTAAATAATAGTCAAAACAAATAAGAGTGGTGTATATATATATATATATATATATATATATATATATATATATATATTTTATTTATATTTATATTTCATCCTAATCAAACTTATTTAATTATTTTTTATACATATAATATTTGAAACAAATCTTGGATTATTATTTACGAATTTGATAAATAATTTAATATCGTACTTTAGCATAAAAAAAAAACTCATATCTATTTATATATTAATTGTTATTAAATACAAAATCAATGATTAATTTACACCACTCTCATTAAATGGCTTAAATTGTTGATGCAGATGATTATGATCTCCCCCATTTTCAGGCCAAATATATTTCAGACTTTATCTTTATAAATATGTTTTTCTTTTTTTTTTTTTTGTTGAGAAAATAGTATTATCATTCATTCGCTTATACAGTTACAAGGAATGTTGTATTATCTATTGGTAAAAATAAAAAAGTAGATTACAAGAAATCATAATCAAAACCTGCAATATTGATTTGTAAAAAAAAAAAAGAAACAAACAAAACAAGAAAAAATAAAAATCATACAAGAGCGGACAAAATGAATGCGTGGATTGTCTTTAAGCTAAGCTTACCGTTTGAAATTGATCATAAGCTTTTCCAAAACATCTATCCACGACGAGTATAAAAAAGAATTGGATTACTTTTTTTCTTTTCTTTTTTTCCTTTTTTCCTTTTTTTTAATCTTTTACACGCCACAGTAGTAGAATCTAATTAAATTTACGGGGTGTGATAAAAGGTTTTTATAAATGACTGACATAAAAAGAATATAATATTATATATATTTGAAATATAATCTGAAAGTAATATATGGACTATCGATTATATTACTTGTGTGGGCTACATAGAGCAAAGAAAATAGGAAGAGATAGAAATAGATAGAGAAAGAGAAAGATAGAGAAAGAGAGAGAGAGAGAGAGAGAGAGAGAATATAAACCTTTAATATTACATTATATTACAAAGTGTTATGTGTATGTGTGCGCATTAATTTGACATTCCCGAAGGAAGATGTAGACGTTAATGAAAACTTAATTTCTTTGAAAATGACAGAAGAAGAAGAAAAAAAAAAAAAGAAAAAGAAAACCCTATTGCAACTAATGCAATTCCATTTGAAAAAAACAACAAGGTAATCTTTCCTTTGGATCATCTCATCTTGGGAATCGTAATATTAAAAATTTACCTTTCAAAGATTTACAGAGCGAACACAACGTGGACTTGGAATTATTTACTTACAGTATAAATTAAAAAGTATAAAAGTATGTATATATGTATATATATATATATGTGTGTGTGAGAAATATTATTAGCAATTTTGTCGAGATAATCCTTCGATCGTGTTTTTTTTTTTGTGAGAATTGGGTTGCGGAAAAGGGATTGTTTTAGGAATGCCAATATTTATATATATGTTAAAAAAAAAAAAACATGAAGGACAACCTAGAGCGATTAGGTGCATGCCATCGAGTATAATTTAGTACTGTAGCACATATTATTTTACTTCGGTAGGAGCACACATTTTGTTGTATCTAACAATTATAAGTTTCGAGCACATTTCTGGATTTAGAAACACGTTATAAGAAAATATGCATATTGTGGTTTAGTTCTGATGAAAATAATAAATCAGTTGGAACATACGATTCAGGCGCGCCATAAACTGGCTTATCATAATGATCGCACATGAGTCGCGTAATTAAAGCGTATCAAAAGATATAGACTCACTCGAAAATGATTTCAATATGTATTCAACTCTGTCACACGACTCTCTCGACAACGAGAACGGTTCAATCCATTCTGTTTTACGATTAGCGTGATTACAACGGTCGAAGATTTATTTATGGTCGCAGAGGAATTCATCTTAAGCGTAATTTCATAGCTTTTAACTGTACTCGACATACACTCTAACTCATTTCTTCCTTTTTTTCTTTTTTCTTTTTCCCTTTTTCTGTTGTATATGAATTTTATGTTTCTGTTTATTGAAAGTAATTATTTTCGCACAGAAGATAATTGTGATTTCTCGAAAGTCTACTACAATTACGTTTACGCCCTTTAGAATATTATTTCTTTTTTGCACCTAACTAATATGCCACTTAGACCACCTGCACATCACGCTACATCGAACGTAAGAGACATAGACGTTATTTAAAATGTATGTAATAATTGCGAGTGAATCAACACCGCTTGTTATCTATTTTCTGTCCTGCGAAGGAGTTTCAACTCCCTTTGGACATCGTCGAGCGAGTTATAGTTCAAAGATTGATGGACATGTCTTGATCGTAAGGCGTTAGATTGGTGTCCGAGGAAGTAGCTGTGGTAACCGTTGCCACCGTTGCACTGCTTGGTGATTGTAATGGAGTTGAGGTTGTTGGCAAATGTGACATAGGACTTTCCAATGTCGAATTCCAATGACTCCTTTCAGTGCCATCACCACCGTCGTCCGAGACGATCGATATATCAGCTATTATTCCGCTTTCTGCAAGCGAGGGATCAAGAAAACAGATCTCGCGAGAAAGACAATAGGATGCTAAGCTCGACGCTGATAATCGTCCGACGAACGACTTACCGACGCTGCACTGACTGTTTAAAGTAGTGCTTCGATGATGAGGTCGGGGACTCGTATCCAAACCGAGATTATGGGTGGTAGGTGGTCCGCTGCTACCACCGCTACTCGATGATGAACTTACTGAAATTACGCTGTGCGGTCTTCTACTGCAACGTCCGGAATCTTCTGACATCGAGACTGCTATCGAGTTTCTGAATCTTGGTGCTGCTTTTGCATGGGAACAAACAAATTAACAAATATTAATATCATCCAAATTTGTTACACAATGTTAAGAATACAATTTTTTTCTTTTTTTTTTTTTTTATTAGGATTTAATAATACAATATATTTACTTTTCGAAAGTTGAGCTACGCTGATGGAACGATCGTTTATTTGATCAGCGCTAGGCCTAATGTCCAAACAAGGTTTGTTTCCTATGCCCATGCTCGACATCTCCGCCAGGCGCACTTCTAAAAACCAAATAAAGTCAACGTTAGTTACTCAGTCGTATTTTTTTTTTACCTACAACAGTTGCGCGATCCTAAGAAATCTAAAAGTAGATGGTCACCTCTGTTTCGAAGCGCCTGCTTCCACAGAAGATTGCTCAATTCCTCGGTCCAAGCTTTTTTTATATCCTCGCTTGCGCATTGCAACGTGTACGTATCGCCAGGCTTCCTTTTGCGGAACCAAATCTCGAATTTGGTTGGTGAATCCGCGATCACTGCTGTCAAACCTATATCCGTCGTTTTGATACTGTGTTTGTAGATGTATATGTCTAGGTTCTGTTATCAAAAAACATATACGAATTATTGTGTTAAAAATTATTTGCATATAAAAATGTACAATCTTATACTATAAATATTAGTTTCACCTTTCTATCAGGGAATCTTCTCGCTTTACTGAAGAGAATCAAATCCTCGAATAGAAAAACTTGACGTAGACACTTCTTTCCTTTACCTTGCCAAACCAAAAATTCATTTTGTCTTAACAGTCTACCTTGCTCTTTGACGTTTACCTATGAAAATGAATTTGCATCGTTAAAATTGTGATTATAAAAGGAGACGCCTATAGAATTTTGTTTGATAGATCTTCAACATACGTCACAATCTCGGAGGGAGTCCATCGCCAGGAGGTCATTTCCATGCCTAAGTTGAAACCGTACCATCTGTTCAGCAGCTCTTAAATCAGCCTCTCCCTCCACTACTGGTTTTACGCTATCCTCTTTTTCTTCTTTCTCATCTTTGCCAGACATTTGTTCGGAAAGATCCGTCCCAGCTTTGACTAATTGTTGGAGGAGCAACGCATACTTTCCCATTCGTTGGACAGGTTTTAAAAGATAACTAGCTAGATCCATTTTATCTCCTAGTTCCATTTGTTTCTGCTTGAAGAATGCTGTCCCATATTCGGCCATTAACGAGTCCGAATTTGGTTTGTTCTTATTGTAAAGTGCATAAAGATAAAATTTCTTTTCCTAAATAAAACGAAAATTCAATATTGATGTCTCGTTTGATATCGGTAAAATACAAATAATAACAGAAGATACATACGTGTCTTAAAAAGCATTGTCCCACGAGCATAGGCGACTGTTCACATTGTTCTAACTCTCGTAAGAAATGTTGACTATGGAATTCATAGATTTTCTCGACGTTACCAAAGATTACGTTTCTTTGACCTCTTAAAGCTTGGGGTATATCCTCACGCACGAGCTCCGGGATGTAATTCTTCAATAATCAAAGTAAAGAATAAGACTTTGCAATAGTAAAAAGTTAACAATTGTAATGTTATTTCTGTTAGTATTATTATACCTCTATTATATATTCCAACGACTTCACATAGTCTCGTTCAGTTTGTATCATCTCTCTCATTATAAGAAGTATCGTTCTGCAAGGTGAAATTCTTTATTAAGGACATCTTACATGTAATAATTCTTTATGACCGCATAATTGAAATTGCGGTTTTCAGGGAACTACGGATGGAGAACTACTCGTTCGTTGATGAATCGTGGAAAATAAGAGAAAGTTAAAAAAGTCTGTAAATTCATCAACGTAGGGATCAAAGTTTGTACATTTTTAAATGCTTTTCTGTTCGTTTGTTTTGTCTTTAACTATACTTGCGTATTTCAATTTTTTTCGTAGATTTTGCTTCTCCATGTGAACGATCGATTATTTAAATATTTGTATTAAATATTGAATGTAATATATTTTTGTAAGAAATAAGGATATAATATAAATCATACTTTTTGGCTTTCATTCCGGGTGCTATACTAGCCGCCCTATGAAGATGCGAATTAACTGGAGGTTTGACCAATCTTCGGGGTGCTGGACTTCTTGGTGGTGTTCTTGGTGGTGAACAATCGAGAAGTTGTTCAGCACTTTCCCGAAGTTCGGCAATGTTGTCCAATACCGGTCGACCTCCACTTCCGCCGGATCCAACACTTTCCATCGGACATGCGTAAGATGCGGTGCTATCACTATCGTCCCATGAAGTTCCTACACAAATCATTTTTCATTCTATAAACTTTAAATGAAACTTTAGCGCGATTAGTACAAAGACTAAACATAGTTTTCTTTTGCTAGATATTTTTTACTGAATAATAAAAGAAAGAATTTATTCAACTTTTTAAATAAAACTACAACGCAAAAGTACTTCAAACAAATGCGTATCATAGTTCAATGATAAAAAAAAAAAAAACATATAACAACGAAACATCCATCATCATTCTATCTTAAGGCCTGTCAGTCTTATCATATCGTCGTTTTAACAGGCTACTGTGTTACGTACTTTTCATGTTATATTGGTTTACTATTGGGTGGTCCAAAAAGTTCATGCTATCTCTCTTCGTGTATTTAAAAAAGATACGTAAAAGATGCATGTTTTGAATTGATTACTCACTCTTCGTCAGACTGTCGTCCCAAGAAGTTGCGGAGTCCGAAGTGGCAAAAGATCTTCTTCTAGCTGGTGAACCAGGTGCCGAAGAAGTCCTAGCAATTTCTAATGCTTCCGCACACTTGCTCCTGGCAATGCGACATTGTTCAAGTAGTATCTCGTTACCGAGTTTTTCAGCGAGGGCCATCATCTCGTTGAAATGTTCAGGTGGGAGGGGTGGCCTCGCCATAAGAAATTGTTGGGATCTCCTTTCGGCGGCCACGCGAGCCTCCTGGGCCCACTCGTAAGCACGGTCCTGTAGCAGACAACATCTCGACGTATCCTCGAGATATTCCCGTCTATCCTCTAATCTTGAACCAAATCCTCGCAGATGTTGTTTCAAGGATCTCGCGAGTTCACGGAGTCCGCTCGCACTCGCAGCCTCTGCGAGGTCGCTTCCTTTGTCGATGTGTCTCTACAAATGAAACAAATGAACAAAATACAAATTATTATATGCTTTAATAATTCGAATATCAAATTTAGCACGAGCAATATCAATTTTTGATATACAGATAATGACGGTCCTCACGGAATACTTAGTTCCATGATGAAAAACGATATTTTCGTGTCTGCTTTCTATGTTGTAAGCCCCCTGCAGCGTGCACATAGCAGAAGCATTCCGCCCTCGGCCGAGGAGAGGCCATAAATCGACATATGGAAGTAAATAACGTCGTGACGAGCGAAGGGAAAAAGGAAGAAAGGAAGGAAGGAAGGAAGGAAGGAAGGAAGGACGAGGAGGGGCGTCATGGTTTTGCCGTATACACGTATGTATGTATCTATGGGGGATCATTGTCGAGAGAAACACGTAGGGGGGCGGTACACATAAGAAGAACGTTTACAGAAAACATATCGTAGAACTTTTCAACGCTATATGTGTGCGATTGTCTGTTGTATGTTCACGGTGCGTGTTCACGCAAGCGTGAAATCCTCTTTGCCATGGGACGAGTATAGTAGTAGTTTATTCTGAATTCAAAGATATGGAACGTGAACAATTTCGATCGAGTATCCGTAACGAAAGAAGAGTATGTATGTATATATCTGTTGTCATAAAACAGACGCACTACATGGATTGTCTCCATGTTTTCGAAGCTATCATGTTAATAGAGTGAGATTTCATGTATGAGAAGAGGGGGATTTGTATATTATCTTTTTCTATAGTTTCATATTATAATTGTAGTTATTCGACGCTTATTAAAACTTTCTTTCAAACATTCTTCAATCAAAATTATGCGAAACCAATCATAGAATTAAATAATCCACGTACTTTCTTTTTCGAATAATCCCATCGTTTATTCTTCGCCAAGCTCCATTTACCAAATTGATTCGAGTACATTTCTCGTATTCGTTTTGTCCACATGTAACACGTGACACGTTCTATCTCAAAGTTTTATCGCCTTAAGCTTTAGAAAATATGTACTACAATTTTTTTTTCCTCTTTTCACTGTGAAACCCGCGGGACGTTAAGTTGCGATTGTAGTTAGGACACGTGCCAAGTTACGTTTCTCTTTTCCCTATTGGAATGTTTCAATGATCAATTATAAGAAGTTCTTTAATTGAACGAAGTTATGCAGAAAGTTATTCTCGTTTAATTATTTTTAATAAAGATCTAACCTCTTTATTTTCGTTTTACTTCTAACACGCGTGTACATATTTTCAAATATATGAAGAAAAAAAAGAAAATAATTTATAAAAAGAAAATTAATGAAAAGAATTATATTGAATACATCTTATTTAAATTTTTAATTCATTTGGATACTTCTGCGTTATTTCGTTTTATTTGAGAAATAAAATAGTTTTGATAAATTGTCAACAACTTTTTGTATCATCGAAACAAATGACACGACTCTTCGTGATATTGATTTCTGTCACGGATGAACTACGAAGATTATTGCTTAGAAGGGACGGAATGGATTTTTCCGGATTACAATTTTCATTGAAATGGGGAATCTCGTTCGTCGTCCCTTTTCTCTAAAAGCAAAATACGCAATTCCATTTGAATTGATTACGAAATTCGATACATAGAACATACGATATAATAAATCAACTCTAGCGAATCGTACGAAGCATGAACGATAAATTCAATGTTTCATGATATATTTCTCGTTGAATAGTATTGGTGTTTCGAATGATTAAAATTTCGAATCTAACAAATGTATCAATCAATATCGTACAATAATAATTGTTTCCCTTCATGCATATACATTCGTGTATAATAATTGTAGATGTGAGTTGCATCTTTAGATAACTTTATGCGTGTATTGTGCATAAGATACATCTAAGTAAGTAACTTTTGATTAAGTACAATATGTCAATCAAAGTTTCCTCAGCTTGTTCTTGGTAATCGTTAAGACCATTTATCTTCAACGTCATGAAACAAATAGTAGGAGTTGTCAGTGTTATATTCCAAAATGAGACAAAAGAACGAACCCTTGAAGTCACGACGATAGAATTGTAATACTTGGTACTTGAGGGGAAAAAAAATAGTTTCCACGTAGTTTAGTAAAATTCCGACAGAAAAAATGTGAATTATTTGAACTTTCAAAACATCTTGAAAGATAAAAATGTAATATAAATCTTTGGGGAGGGAGGAATAGAGATTCTTCACCTCCTGGAGTGTAATGAATTACTTGAAATCTTATCAGGGACGAATAATCGTTGTTTCTTATCGTTGTTCGTGACAAACGAATATATAATGTTTATATTTTAAATACAGGATACACATTTAGAAATAAAAATTGTTTAATTTATTAGGAATTTATGAATTACAGTTTATTTGAAATTTTGTTTAAAAATATTTCTTCTCTCTGGTACAACACATTGATCCACCAAGCTTCCTATTATAATAAACCAATCTAATTTCATTCTAATACTCGTATATCTTAGAATAATACAAATTTCGATTAAACCTTGATGAGATTTGATTGTAAACGTGCGCATAGAAAATTTCCATACAAACAAGACAACACGTCATAGTTGACTTATAATGTCAGTCGTTAATTAAACGTTAATCGAATCGTTCGTTATCGATTCGTTAATCGTCGCTCTTTCATTCGTGTGGCAATACTTCTTTGTTTTTATTATTTTATAGACCGGTCGTCGTACGACCGGTATTCGTGCAACACTTTCCTGAATATTTAACGTTCATCACGAGAAAAAGAACGAGATGGATGACGATGTTGTGTTAGAAAACTCGTATAATACATTTAGGTTCGATTCCAAATGGTTTTTCTCGTTTATAAATTGAAACTAGTAAGGATCGACAAAGAAACACGTAGACTTTCCTATTATCGATGGAGTTTAAAGGCTCACCGCCATGGATATTCCATTTAACTCGAGTGACAGGTTGTCGACCACTTAGGAATTTCTTGCAAACATACAAGTTCCGTATACTTAGATTATCTTTTTATAAAAAAAAAAAAGTAGAGTAATGTTATTTGTATTATTCTTAGAGTTGATTGTCTTAATTAGAGGTCTTTTAAACTATGAAGAATCCTAACTGGTTTGACTCGAGAAATTTCTAATTATTTTCAATATTTTATAGTAACGTCTTTATTTAAACCTCATCGAAGTTTTACACGTAGCATTATTGAGATAGGTTAGGCATCAATATTTATAGCATATTAATCGTTCATTCAAGGATGAAGAAAAAAAGGGAAATAACTTGGGTACATCGTACTTACATACGTGATCAATTAAGTTGCATATATCTGAAACGAAGCGAATGCTGTCGTAGTGTATATGCAACACTCATACAGATATACAAGTAATAGTCCTTTAACAACGTACGATTTTTAATTGAAGAAGAGCAAATGTGTTAACCGTGCGAACTTTAAAACCATTTAATAAGAGCGACCTCTTCAGTTTACTCTTGTTAATCCAGCTTTCGTTAAAATATACGAGAATCATCGTTAAAACGTGTCGTTTTAATTTATCCTTATTTTGCTTGATCAAAAAAGAAAACAAAAATCATGCACTAGATAAATGATTTCAATAAAATTATGCATTTACGTTTTGCAATAAAATAAGACTCACGTTGAAAAGTAATGCGAGAATTATTGTATCGACTTGTAATAAACTAAATTATATTTTTTGTTTTGTGCTAAAAATTAGATAACACTTCCTGCGCAATAATAAAATAATGAAAATGAAAATAAATCATAGACGAGATTAGAAACTACAAGTCATTCATATTACAATGATATATTTCACATTTATTATTATTGATCAATTTATAAGAAACTTCGATGATGTTTTAACGACGTTATAATGAAGATGAGAGAACACGTTCACATAGATTCGTAGAACATAAGAATTGATGAAAAGATTTGAAAGAAAGTCAATGTAATTTCGTAGAATTTTCTTCTCACGTATTCCATTCACTTTCACTTTTCATCTTACTTCTGGTGCTGCATGTGCATAGTGGTGGTGGTGGTGGTGGTGGTGCTGTTGTTGTTGCACTTCTTACATAGCGGCATGGCAGAGACAAGAAAGACTGTAAAAAATTGTTCGCGAGGAAAACAGGTACTGGTAGCTCGTGAAATCTGTAGTCCTCGAAAGCACGTACGGCTAAGTGTCTCGAAAGATTGCATTCCAAGACCGCAAAGGTCGAATAAATCCTTTCCATCGTTTATCGTTCTCTGCCCGACGGCAGTGTAACTCTCTCTCTCTCTCTCTCTCTCTCTCTCTCTCTCTCCCTCTTTCTCTCTTTTCCACTCTCGTATCTAGCATGAAACTCGTCTCTGACGAAGATTCACTTTAATCGTTGCGAAACTTAAACCATAGCTGTCGAGTTGTTTGAAGACCTTTTAAGGTCGAACCTCGAAGAAATTCTGATCGTTATGGAAAATATCATACCCACCATATACATTCTTAAATTAATCTTTCAAATGTGAGATTTTTTTTGTATAGATGGAGATAATGAAAATTCTTGTTACGATATTAATCACCATGATTAAACTTAGGGTAGGTCTTATTTTATGAAAGTCTTTGACATTGAATTATTCATTAAGAGATAAAAATATCATTTTAATTTTTAATTACGTGTATTTTATTTTCATACGAAAGATAACTCTTTGTTTTAATAATGAAAGATTTAAATGCGTTTCAACGTAGTTTTTAATAATGAATAAATTTATTAGTTAAATTAAACTGAGATGGAGAAATTTGTTTCGCATCGTATGTTGAATAATTTTCATTATCATTTAAATTATTAAAAATATATATTTCGTAATGGTACATTGGTTTATTAAAAAGAGAAAAAAAAACATTATAATGATTAAAAAGTTCTCTCGTTATGATCGAGTATCATTCGTTTTCATTTTCGTTAATTTAAAGAACATATTTAAATTGAATTATTCACGGTGCATCGGTTTATTAAAAAAATGTAAATTAATTTGATGAATTAATTCACTCGGG